GATAGATAGATAGATAGATAGATAGATAGATAGATAGATAGATAGATGATAGATAAAATCATGGGTTTTAAATAAATTGTGATTTAAAAATTCACCAAAAAACCCAGAAGATTAAACATTGATATTAAGAAACAACAATTACTATACTTTATTATGCACATCAACACAAAATGTTATTTTCTATGTGTTACTAACAAACAAACAGTAGAGTGAATGTAATTTAAGAGTAGTGTTCAGGTAAACTGAGTGTAAGTTGGTATGAGACGACACATACAGGTCCCAGATATATTTTTCAAGCAGCTAAAAACTCATCTTTAAATGTCATGACATTTTTAGACTGGTTTTTGTTCAACAAACAAGTTTTAAAGCTATAATTTTTTAATGTACTCAAAAATTGACATAATTTAAAAAAATTAACAATCTTTTTACACATTTTAATGTCACGAAAAATAACAATACTGAATGATGCAGTTTTGTTTATGAGTCTGTCACATTCAGCTGCTCAGCAGTTCACGGTCATCACCAGTCACAGCTGACACAGTTAATTTCACCTGTTGTTGGTTGTTTTTATTTTGGGATTGTGTTAAACTATGGTATAAGTCAGTTACTATGTCTGCCATGTTTTTTGAACCATTGTTAAGGCAAGCAGACAAAGCCATTTGTCACAAGTTAATTATGTTTTAAATGTCTCAGGGCATCTATAACTTTGAGCTGTGTTTGAAGTAAATTTAGAAAAAAATTTGAAGTAAGAATATTCTGATGCATGCTCAATAATCCAGGTAGAAAAATCTAAAAAAGTTAAATCTGGTCCTCTGGACATTCAAAAAACAAAACAAAGCAAAACAAAAAAAATGTAGAAACGTTTCGTCTTCCATCCGAGAGACTTCCTCAGTCTGAGGTGCTGTATTCAGCTCAGTCTCTTAAATAGCACATTCTCAGAGTGGATCAACCAGTTTGCTGCTGACAACCAAAACCAGCTGCTCACATGGTCAAGAAGGACCATCAGCCTAACAATGGATCATTAGCACACTGATGGCTGTTTACTATTCACAGGAGGCTGAGTGATACTAGCAATTACAGCATTGTAAGAGGGGGACAGTTGAACCCGGAGGCCTCCACCCGTTTAACGATGGACGATTTCTTTTCACAAAGATGGCCTCCTTTACTCCTCTCTCAAACCATCGTTCCTCTCTATCCAGGATGTGAACATCTTCATCCCTGAAAGAGTGACCGCTGGCCTGGAGATGAGTGTAGACTTCAGAGTCCTGGCCTGATGTTGTTGCTCTTCTGTGCTGGGCCATCCTTTTGGCCAGTGGCTGTTTAGTTTCCCCGATGTAAGACTGATCACAGCCCTCCTGACACTGAACAGCATACACAATATTACTCTGTGCCGGGGGACTGGATCTTTGGGATGAACCAGTCTTTGCCGTAATGTATTTTGGGGTTTAAAAGCCACTGGGACGTTATGTTTAGAAAATAAACGTCTCAGTTTCTCTTAAACTCCCTCAACATACGGAATGACCACTGGTCTGGGTCGGGGTTCCTCCTTTTCACCTGATGGCTGACTGGAGTCCTGTTTGGGTTTCTTCTCTGCTTTCAGGAAAGCCCAGTTAGGATATCCACATTGCTCTAGAGCCTGTTTTGTGTGGGATTTCTCCTTCTGCCTGGCTCCTGAGTTAGTGGGGACGCTGTCTGCTCTGTGATGCAGAGTCCTGATGACTCCTAACTTGTGCTCCAAAGGGTGATGGGAGTCAAACTGCAAATACTGGTCTGTGTGGGTGGGTTTGCGGGACACCTCAGTTTGCAAATGTCCTCTATCAGAGACTGAGACCTCACAGTCCAAGAAAGCCAACCTGCCATTTTTTACATCTTCTCGTGTGAACATGATGTATTTATCCACAGAGTTGATGTGGTCAGTAAAATGTTGGACTCCCTGGGATTTAATTTTAACCCAGGTGTCATCAACATACCTGAACCAATGACTTGGTGGTGTCCCTGAAAAGGATGTCAAGGCTCTCTTTTCTTCCTCCTCCATGTACAGGTTGGCAACAATAGGAGAAACTGGAGACCCCATAGCACACCCATGTTTCTGCCTATAATATTGCTCCCCATGTGTGAAGTAGGTTGACTGCAGGCACAGTTTCAAGAGTTGACACAGTTGTTCTGCGGAAAGAGTGGTACTGCTGCTCAGAGTGGTGTCTGATTTTAATCTTAAACTGACCACCTCTACTGCATCATCAGCAGTAATGCACGTAAAGAGTGATGTGACATCAAAAGAGACCATTGTTTCAT